CGGTACAACTCGGTATTGCTCGGTATTGGTCTTCACAGGCAGTATTTCTCGTTATTGCCAAGCAATACCTAGCAATACCAAACAAATACCGAGTAATACCTAGCAATACGCAAACATAGCATTCCCGGGTTCCGGTCCGGGTCAAGTCGTCGGGGTAAAGAGTAAAAGCACGTGGCGACATGTTATTGGCGGCAGAATGTAGCTCTACGTTCGGTCAGAGGAGGTCCTTTAAAAAAAATGTTAATTAGGGCATTAATCAAATTACCAATATAGCTAATACTCGTTGGTTAATGTGAACATAACATATTCCTATGGATTATCTAAAACACTCAGCATGAATGAAAATACTTAAAAATTCATTAAATTAATCTAAATAATTATAATAAAACTAATGACGGTAATGTTCTCCGTTTAGTGCCCTCCTAAACATAAAAAGTATCTAACGGCAATATCCCCAAAAACAAAAATGAACGCCAGGTCATCATTATTTGCTGTCCAGTGGGGGGTGGGTGGGCGAAGCCAGTCCGCACAGAGCGTGGGTACCCAATGGGTACTAGACTAGGACCCTGTGTAGGGCTCTGGAACACACTTAACTGTAGAGTTTCTTAATGATCGAAAGACAGTCTTGATGTTTAAGAGTTTAGCTTCTTTTTTACTTATAAGGGTTTCACAAATAGTAAATAATATATGTTTTGAAGATAAATTTTTAAACTTTTTTAAAAGATTTTTGAAACTGTAGCAGGATAAATAGGCTTTTAGAAGCAAAAATAAATCTAAGTTTAGCTGAAGATATGAATTTGTGACAAATTAATATATTTTTAACAATGTTTTTAAATAATTTACTATTAGGAGATGTGAAATTAATGTACTATTTTTCTCATATTTTGTTATAAACAGAGATGGATTATTAGATTTTAAACTATCAAAATTTTTTAAAAAAATATTATTGATTTTTTTCATAATTTTTTTTATGGAATAATGTGTTATAAATTATAAAATTGGACAATTGCATACATAACATTTGAAATTTATTTATTTACAAAATTGTCACTCTCTTATATTTCATTTTTAAATTCTCCTAAATTTCAAAATTTACAATAAAATTTTAACTCTTATTTCTCGCTTTTGTCAAATTTCAAATGATTTGATCGTGTCATGCATAAACAGGCAAAACAAATTTGAGTTAGAATGCAATGATCACATCAAGACGAAATTGACGACAACTTCTTGCACATGTATGAAGAAAAAGTATATATTACATAACAAGAGAGATTAATTTTGAAATATTGTTCATTATTATCAGGGCTGTCAAAATCGAGTCACAAGTCATGTTCGGGTTCAATCTGCAACTGATCCGAAACTAGTCAACACAACCCAAATCTTACATGTTTGTTGAGATTGATGCAATTTAGTTTTCTATTTTTGAGATTCTTGCAACATGTGTGTTTTTTATGATTCCAAATATTATTGTTTTACTTACTGATTCTCCTAACATATTTTATATGTATTGCTTTTATTGTTTGGGTGTAGTAATATTTCAGAGAAATCATACACCATATTGTTGAAGATTTCAAATCAGATTAGATTATGGTTCATTGTAAATAAAGTGTGTATTTTTTATTTTATTGAGTCTGAGAAAGTGTGATTATAATTGAGTAACTGTGCACACATACATTGGAGGAGTGTTTAAAATTTGTAATTTTTAAACTGATCGTACTGTACGAATTCATTTCATACAGGACGATTAATCCAATTATTTCCTCCTACGAGCAGTTAAAAAAACTGCAGGAAGAAAAATTTTCTAAGTACTAATCGTACTGTACGAAAGGTTCTTCATACATACGACATCCAGAGTACAAATTGGACATGTCCCTTTTCATCCTGACAAATTCAAATCTTTTTTCCTAACCGATTGTATTGTATGATTCATTGTTCGTACAGACGACGTCCAAAGTACGAATTGGACAAGTCTCTTTTGACCCCGATGAATGCCAAATTTTTATGAATGGATCGTAATGTACGATACCTTGTTCGTGCAAATGATGTCCCTAATACCAATTTGACGGGTCCCTTTTCGTCTCGACGAACGTCAAATTTTTCTTAACGGGTCGTACTGAATGATGCTCTGTTCGTACAGATGATGTATATAGTACAAAAATATGGGGAACCTTTTCGACCTGATGAATAAGAAAAAAATTTCTTACAGTTCGTACAATATGAGCATGATTCATACTAGATGATTAGCATAGATGAAAATATTTTGTATAGGTTCGTACGCAGCAGTTTTTGAAATGTTCGTATGTACAAAGTACGATCGTACACACTCAAAATGGCTATTTTTTGTTTTCTGGACGGTTTTTTGTGTCTTTCATATAAAAAGTCTATTAAAACTGACGTGAAAAGAGTTGTTCTTCGTGATTTTTCAAGAGCAAGTGAAAGAGTGTTTGTGGGAGAGTGTTTGAGAGAGAGAATTCTTACAAGTGGAGTGAAGGAATCATAAGGTTACTCAAAGGTGAGAATCTCTTTTGTTTTTTGGTTACTACTCTTCCTTTCTTCTTTTTATTTGCTCGAGAGAAGATCTGGTTCTCTGCCGACACTTGGAGGGTGTAAAAGGATGACGGTTCTCTGCCGATGCTTGAAGGGTGTGAAAAGACAATGGCTCTTTGCTGACACTTGGAGGGTGTAAAAGAACGCCGGTTCTCTGACGACACTTGGAGAGTGTGAAAGGACGATGGTTCTCTGTCGCACCGGGGGTTGGTGGAAAAGAGAAAAATTATAAAGGCTTCCCCGACTTATTGTGGGGGCAAAAGGAGAGTCACTTTTGGTAATAGTGTAATACATGAGGAGGGAGTCTTTAGGGAGTTGGCATAGGTCTTATTGGACTGAACCACTATAAATATGTGTGTTCATTTTATTTTTCTACATTTTGTATTTGTGGTTGAAAAATTATTTAAAAAAAAATTTATTTAAAAACTTAGTATTTTTTCCTTAATTATCAAGAGATTTTTTAAAATTACCAATTCACCCCCTATTAATTAGCATTGGGACATTAGCATATGTTTAACAACATATACGAACTTTACACTATTTTTGCATATGGATCAGGTTTCTCAAATCTGTCCTATTTTTTAAAATGAGTGGAATTCGAGAACCCGAACCCAACCCATTCCGAAATCGGGTCGAGTCAAATCCAAAATTTTCCAATCAGATTTTTGTGTCGTGTCAAATATTGACACTCCTAATTATTCGTATTATTATTTTGATATATAATGATTTAGAATTAAAGAAAAAAAAAAATCTCAAATTTTAAAATTTTCTTATAAGAAAGGTTTATCAATTCCTTATTTTTAAATATCAATGATAAAAATTAAAAACATGAGGGACTTTTATTTAGTCCCACATCTTATAAAAATAAATGTAACTTTTGTTTATAAATAACCAAGCACGGTGCCCATTCTTGGATGTAGTATTTTCAATTGTTAAATGTGTTTTTTGGGCTTCCCTAATGATGAATTATTTAAATTAATAAGAGTACAACAAAATTTGTATACCATGTACATTATCATTTATCAAGTACATGAATAAGATAGCTAAAAAAACAACTAAAAATTTTTTGAATGTAAATGTTATTTAAGATAGCTAAACAATTAAATCAGAGCATGTTATAAGGTTTTTTTTTTTTTTTGGATTAATATTTTTGTGTTATTTATGTGCATGTAAATGTTATTTAAGCTTTCCAGTCGAGTCGGGTTGAGCTCGAACTCGAGCTCGTTTATCATTCGAGCTCGATTGTAGGCTCGAGCTCGAGCTCGAAGCTCGATAAGCTCGGCTCGCGAGCTCGTTAATGATACAAGTTCGAGCCAACTCACAAGCCGGCTCAGCTCACTTACACCCCTATTTACATCAGTGCTGATGAGCGACATTAAAAAGGGTTATAGTTAATATTATCTTGGTAGAAGAAAATCATCTTGCATGTGAGTTGTTGTTTGAGAGAAATTATTTCATGCGAATACCAGACTGTTCGGAGGCGAATTAGAGCACGTCGCCTTGTACACAGTGGATACACAACTGTGATACATAACAAAGGAGTGATGTGGCGCTCTCTGATTCTCCTCCGAACGGCACCCATATCCACACAAAATAATTTCACATTGTTTGTGCATCTTCTTTGTTATGTGTGTGGGTGTGCTTGTGTTTCAATAAAGGTTCAAAGTTTTTTTTTCTCCCTCATTTTGAGCACATTGTTTGTAGCTTGTATGGTTGATGGATCCTCATTTTCTTTTAAAGGTTCAAAATTTAGCTCAAATCATGCAAGCAATATATACAATTCAACGTAAATAATGCAACAAATAGCCTATGGAAAATAGGTTAAGATTGCCCAATTAAAATTGAGAATTAGGTTTAGTTTGGGATGGCTTTCTTTCTGCTTTTTAAAGCAGTTTTTTAGTAAAAAAATTAAAATGTTTGTACTAAAAAATTGCTTTAAGAAACAGTAAGAAAGCAACCCCAAAAGAAGCCTTAGGCTTTGTTTGGGACGGCTTTTTTATTGATTTCTAAAACGGAGTTTTAATACAAAAATAAAAAAATTTGTACTAAAACTCCGTTTTAGAAAGTAGTAAAAAAACCGTCCCAAACGAAGCCTTAATCACCATGAAGTAATTTGAGCAATTTTAAGCATATATGCCATAGCATAAAACCTTTCAAAATTTATGAATTCACCAAATAAAAAGTTTAAATTTGGAGAATTAAAACCCAACAATAATGCTACTCATTTGTTTAAGAAAAAAATATTTCTTCAAAATCATAAATTTAAGTTACATACTTCAAGATTTACATTCATCATTTTAAGAAAAATCAATAAATTTTTAGGAAAGAAAAAAAGGAGGAAATAACTAAGTTGAAATCAATCTAAATATAATTATTTTGAAATTACTTGAAGAGGGGAATCCCTACTCTCACATATACCAAGTGAATTAATGCACATTGATTAGAGACTGAAAGTAAAAAAAAAAATATATAGAATATTACAAGAGAGGAGGGCCATTTCACCCAACATTCATCCCCTAAGTATTATGAAATTGATAATAAAAAATGACTAATGCAATTTATTAAAATAATAAAATAAAATATAAATATTATATTATTACTTAGAATCACCTTTTTTGCATCAGTTCAATTGATTTTCAGGAGGAATTATCAATTCTCAAATACATTGAAGAAAATTTTTAGAAGTGTTGAGGGCTAGAATATTCATGACAATAAAGTGAGTAAACTTTTTGTCTTAGCGATGCACAAATATCTAGCACACAAATAGAGAAAGAGAAAGGGAATAGTAAAACATTCAATCTTTTTTACATGGAAAGCTTGAAGAGGGGAAAACCATGGGGCCTCGCTCAAGAGAAAAGATTCAACTAAAATTGAGAAAATTACAAAGGTTTATCCGTTCATTAACTTAGAGGCAGTTGAATTACAATAGTTTGGAGACTTGGGCAAAGGTCCGGTGACAGTTGGGCAGAAGTTCGACGACGTCCGGAAAGAAGTTCAACTGATGGTGAATGATTTGACGATGTTCAGGCAGAAGTCCGGTGGACTCTTGAAGCCTAAAAGCTTTATCCTATCTCAAGCCAAAGGTCCGCTTTCAAGTAGAGAGTGTGAGTCTATTTATAAATTTTCATGATTGACATGTCTAGTAAATATATATTAGATTTGGGGCAGGTTCGAAGTGCTCCATGGAATTGCTCGTATTGATTCCCCGACCATATAACATTTTTCAATTGTTCAAGTGCCTTAACGATGTCATAATCCAACTATTTTTGGCTCGTTGGAATTGTCTCACCGAGCCACTCAATTTGACTATAAGCATATCATAATTGATATCATTTTGTCATTCAAATAATGCGTTGAACCTTCCAAATATTGCTCGGGCCTTGATTTAGACCAATTTGGGTTGTAATTGGATAGATTTTGATATTGTTGGGTTCTTTTCTTTGAGACGTTCAATTTGACTATGAAATTGTTGAAATTGAATTTAATTTTGAAAGTTTTAATCTTGAATATACCTCACGTTCAATATGATTTTTGGTTAAGTATCAAGAACAAGAAGAGTTCCAACTAAAAAAATTTATAAGATAAATTTAGCCTCAAAGATTTATGACATTTCCTTAAATTATCACATAATATTCCTTAAAATGTAAAAGTTAGAATAAAAACAAAGCGTTTTATTTTAATTTTGATAATCGTAAAATATTTTATTTCGATACTTTCTTCATTTTTATTTTTTTTATTTCATAATACTTATTTAAAATATGAAATAAAAGTTATTTAATTAAAATTTAAATTACAGCACATATTATTTTAATAATTAAGAATAATAATTAATGATAGATTATAGAAATGCGTGAAATTTTAGCGCTGAAATCGAACCGAAAATCACCTAAATTTAAACGCGGAGTATTTAGCTCTTATTTTTTTCCAAATCATTTGTTATTTCCACTGGTTTCCATTGAAAGAGAAGCAGTAGGGTTGCCGAACGAAACGACGGAGGAGCGTGCGGAGTAAGCGAAGGGTGAGCAGGAGCGCAGGAGCGAGAGATCGAAGTAATGGGGAAAGATCTCACCGAAGAGCAGGTGGCGTCCATGCGGGAGGCCTTCACACTGTTCGATACGGACGGAGATGGCCGGATCGCACCGTCGGAGCTTGGAATCCTCATGCGTTCGCTGGGTGGGAACCCGACGCAGGCTCAACTGAAGGCGATCGCGACTGAGGAGGGGCTAACTACGCCTTTCGACTTCACTCGCTTCCTGGAGCTGATGCGGAAGCACTTGCGAGCCGAGCCTTTTGATCGCCAACTACGCGACGCTTTCAAAGTGCTCGACAAGGATTCCACCGGCTTGGTCTCAGTCGCCGACCTCCGCCACGTCCTTACATCTATTGGGGAGAAACTCGAGCCGAATGAGTTCGATGAGTGGATCCGCGAGGTTGATGTCTCGCCGGACGGCACCATTCGTTACGAGGACTTCATCCTGCGCATGGTCGCCAAGTGATCCTGTTTCGTGGTATTTAAGGTTTGTGATCGATCCTTTATCTCTCAGATTATCTGCAGATCGGATGGTTTGTGGTTTGTGCTAGCCTTCTAGGGCTTTTACAGATCTTATTTTTTAGGTTGTTTGTTGTGCTGAGAGATTAAGGATCTATGTGATCGCATTTGATCTACTCTATTATTATTTTGTTGTCATGTTTGGCATTGTTACATGAAGCGTTTAATCAGGGAAATGTTTGACACATGTTTGGTTTTCAAAATTTTTATTCCTTGCAAGATTTTCCTTTTAGGCATTTGGCATGCCAGTTTTCGGTCTAGTAATGCCAGTTTAGGGCGTGGTTTCATTTAACAATGAATGTTGATATGTAAAATTGGTACTGATCTTGAAATTTTAGGCATTGCACAGAATGTATTGTTAAACTAAATAAAGTTCTGACGGAATTTGATGCTGATAGTGCCATCCCATATTTTTTATAAATCTCGTACGTTTCATAAAATTATTCTTACTTGCATTGTGCACGAAATTCTTTATGCTGGGATACTGGTGCTTGGATGATGTGAAAGCTCTGGTAAATTAGATGGTAAGTTAGAATGTTGATAAGTGTTGCAGTTATTTTTTGTAAAAAAAAAAAAGTAAAAAAGCTGGTCACTAGAGCTCATATTAATACCTAAAAGGATTTCAAATGTATTTTTGGGCAGGTCATTAAATGAAAAAAGATCTTTATGTTATCTAAAGCCATATAGTCAATAACCTGGTAGAAGTTACGAGATATTTGTCATTAAGCTATCTAAAACTATAAAATTAAAGATATTGTTTTGGTCAAATAAGGTTTGCATTAGTAGTGGAGCTAGAAATATTTCTTTAATTGTGGTACATAAACTAGTGTTATTATTTATATGGGGCACAAATTGAATATTTGTTTTTTAGAAACATGAAATAATTGGGACTTATTAATTTATATCTATTATATATAAAGATATATCAAGTTGGGGGGAGGGGCTTGTGCCCTTAGAAGTATCCTCCTAAATCTGCTGTTAGTTTGCAAGATAAACTGAAAGTGTCTGTTATCTTGGCTCCTCGATCCATGGAGGTGCTTTTTTGGCTAAGATGCCATTTTTATGCAGACAACCTTGGGCAGAGGTATCCTATTTAGCACATGACAAGTCTAAGTGACCAATTGGGGACTTTGTTCTAATAAGAAGATGAAGCTAAGTTTGATAGCTAATGGTAACAAGATAAAACTCCCCTTCCAAGTTAATCTTAATTCTAAAATGCCACAATTATAGGCTTCTAATTGGAGTGTATTTTAATCCCTAGCATTCTCATTATTAGCGAATTAGACTACTTCATATCTCTAATGCTTAACTTTTTATGCTGTAAATTGCAAATTAATATGAAGCTCCTTTTCAAACATGAAAACCTTTAGCGTTGACTACCCTCCTTGTTGAGATATCGTTAAAGTGCCAAAGATTTTATTTTTGAAGGTAGATTTTCTTGCGGTTAGATAAATAGGTCAATATTTCAGTATTTGAAACCGACAAGTGCATTTCTTTTAAATTAGTTCTCATTCGAACCTAAACTAGCGAAGTTGAATGGATAGACTCTCATATAGATTATTGGAAGTGGGTTGTAGGTAGTAGTGGATATAGGCTTGTATGGGATTGAATAAAATATTTTTCGAAGGAGTTTTGAAGGGATTGACAGGATTAATTTGTCATTGATTTTAATGAGAGAGGAATGCTAACATCACATACTGAGAAAGCGGGTGAGACAAAAGGGGTTGCTTGGATTACAGGACCCTATGTTGAAATAAAAGTAAAAAAAAATATTTGTAAAACGTTACAATGAATTTTAAACAATAATTTTTGCCTAACTTTGGTTGTTGTCATTTACAACAATGTCAATACAAAATTCGGGTGTTGCATACTATTATTTCAAGACAATGCAGATACAAGCAAAACAATTTCATAATTCTTTTCGTACGCATGGTCTTAGTAATTTGGAACATGTCAAAAGAAGTGAACATGGCATTGGATTATTAATAATAGTCATTAGAAATTGAGAAAACATCAATTGAATTACTTGAAGAATGAAAAAAAAAGGAAAGAAAAAGGGAACAGAAGAAGATGAAGGAGAAAGGAAAGATAATGCTCTCTATAATGAGAAAAAGATTAAAATAAATAGATCATAGATTTTAAAAGAAAAAAATAAATAGATTGTATTCTTAAAAATTATGTTCCAAGTATTCTCTAAAGTTAGTGAAATTGAGACAAACCTATTGAGGTTTACTCAACATCTAATTTGTAATATTATATTCAACCTTCGATAAGCTGAACTCAAGTAATTTTATTGACAACTGACTTAATACATATCTGTTTCTTAGCTTCAGTGCGTGAATACTCACTCTTCTTTCCATTGTTGACATTGTAACTTTGCTCCTTGATTTGCAGTGTAGTTCATTGCCTTGTGCAAATATTCTGGCATGTTTTCCTTTCTTACCAGTTTGTTCCTTTGGAGGAGTCGATTATTTTTATTGCTCTTAAAAATGTTAGATAAGCCTTCAAGAACTTACATTTTTTAGCTCTGAAAAATTTTAGATACATTTAATTAGGGTGAGAAATTTCTTTTCTTTGATTAAAACATTTAATTAGGCTTCTTTTTATTTGAAAGGAAAGAAAATCATCAACTTCTCATATTCATTCATTCTTGTTATGCGTTACTATGATGTTAAATTTATTTTTTACAAATTATTCTGAGCAATTTTTCTTCATGTAATTTTGTCTATTATTTTTTTTCTTTAAAATTTTTGGACATTAATTTTATCATTCGTTCAATAGATTTATTTTGTATTATTCATTATAAATGTCTAAACCATCTTAGTCTGTTATCAATTATCTTACCTTCAATAGATGGCACTGCAATTTTTTTGTTTAATATGGTTATTCCTTAATTTATGATTTCTAATTTTGCCTTGCATCCATTTAAGCATTCATATTTCTGCTGCGTTCAACTTAGATATCAATGAATTTTTAGCATTCTAACATTCAGATCATTACAAGATTGTTGACTTAATTACGATTTTATAAAATTTATCTTCAAGCCTCCATAAAAGTTTTAGCGCGGCCATTAATATTTTAGTAAATCACCAAAATATCCTCTATCGAAAGACTTAATTTTATGCTTCTTCTTTAGTTCTTACTTCACTTTTTTGCATCATTCTAAAATGTACTTCAACTATGTTGTTTGTTAAATATCTTATTATATTTACTTTTATGCATCTAATTTGACCAAAATCCTTAGTTTTTTTTTATCTCATATCTTAGTTATTCTCTACACCTCTTTTTTTTTTCTTCTTTCTTAGCACCAAACATGTCATATAAAATTATAAATAATAAAAAATTGTAGCATATTCTTTACCCACAACCATGTTTTTAAGATTTCTAGGTTTTTATAATCATTATATGCCTCTTTGTATCATTTATTTGTTGTCACATTTTAAAAGCACATTTCTTCTCCTTAATGCACTCCAATAAATTTTCTTTTCAATATATGATTTATATCTTGGCTCTTAAGATTTTTACAGCATTCCTCTCAATGGAACTTGCTATCTTATCTCACAATAGGTTTTTCTCAACTAAATAAATCCTTATTTGGCTCTCTTAGCAACATATTTTGGTAGATTAAACAATTTCCTATCTTTCATTTCACCAGCTTATATTGGGGCCATTATTTCTCTTATTTATTTTATTTATATTTTTAAGATATATATACCTAATTATTCACATATATTGTGTGGTCAAGCTTTATCATGGAATCTCATTCAAATCTTTGCAAAAGAATTTTTCTTTCCTTTTATTTATGATATGTTGACTCCACTTTTGTATGTAATCAAGCATTCTTATTTCTTAAAGTATTCATTCACTATTATCAGATCGTAGATTGCTACAAAATTAAGTATGACATTTCCAATTGCATTCCATCTTCAATTTTATAACAACAATGAATCTTAGCCGATCCTAATAGAGCCTATTTGTATGTTTATATTATCCATAACTATTTTTTCTTCATCAGGTACACATTGTGGAAGTTCATTCATCTTTTCCCAAATTGATTTTTTTAACTGTCTTCTAATCCAACATGAGGAGTTTTACTGTTGACCACCTGCATATTTTTCTCATTGGTAATTATCTTAATAGCAAACTTTCTATCACCAGGCTTATGAACCTCTGTAATTTATATTTCGATTCTTTATCCATTACTTCTCCAACCTCATTCCTATTGTCAATCTTTCTATCTTGTAATAGCTAATGTCTTTCCTAATATCTTTGGATTTTTCCCACTTTTCATTTATTTTTATATCATCTTGTTATCAGTTCTCATCCACTCATTCAAGGTTCTCATATTCCATGTGACAAGTTTGATATTAGATTTAATCTAGTTAACCCTTGCACAATCAATTTCGCTTTTGATTGATGCCTCTCTTAAGGGTTCTATCCGAGCTCTTCCTTGCTTGCTTTTTACCATTACAAAGTTAAGTTGTGGTGCATTACTTAGGGTGATGTTTTAGCCCACCCCCATGCTTATTTTTCACTGCAATTGGGTTGGGTCTCCATTGAGAAACATCCTAGCCCTAGGAAAAATTAAAATTGGATTTGTTTTATTTGTTTGCAAACGAGGCTTATGATTACTGTCATAAATCCTAAATCTTTCTTGTCTTGATTATGAACTAGACTTCATAAAGGAATCCTTGAGCCAAACCTGATGATTGATTTTTTTAAGAGAATTTAGATTAAATTTTATGTAAGAAGGTTTCATGGAGTGAGGAGGTATAAAAAGTTCTTAAAGGAAAAGAATTGTGTTTTTAAAATGTGGAAAGAGATGGATACTTTGAGTCTTATAATGCATATAAGTAAGCTATAGAAGTCTTGCTAACAAATTATTAGCAAAGCAATAATTATAAGTTTTGGAAATTCATAAAATAAGCTAGGCATTAAGGAATGAGAAAAATTGATGTATAAAATCAAGGCAATTAATGAGTTGAGTTTGAAAAAGTTCTCAACTTGAACTCAAAATTGTCGTATTCGACTTGATTCAAACTTGACATGAAGGTAATTTACTTTTGAGTTCCGGCTTGACTCAAAGTCTCTTGATTTTGGGGTTTCTTGAAATTACTCGATTTTTGGCATGCTCAAAATCGATTTTTAGTTGAATCAACATTATGAAATTCATAAGATTTAGAGAAAAATAACTTATTACCTTTTACATGAACTATAAA